TCAATATTTGGATAATTAACTTCGTTCCATTGTGACGATGTATTCAAACGNCTTCTACTCTTTTGAATTACAGCCACAACATGGGCACATGGTAACAAACCATCAGCATGTGCATCTCTCAATGTCAATCGTCACTAAAGGATGTGAATTAACTTAAAAAACATGACTTGATGACACCCTAACAAATCAGGAACGACACTCAGTGAAAGCAGCTTGAATTTTGGCTTCAATATTTGGATAATTAACTTCGTTCCATTGTGACGATGTATTCAAACGGCAGCCCATTTGGTTCATGATCTATCCTTTTATTGTGTCAATCATGCTTGTGACAGGTAGGTGATGTGACTTTGTGATCTAAGTATTGAATGATTCAGTTTTATTTGAAGACATCTCCTTATAACGTTTCTCCTTGAAAAATGCATTCGCCCATTTCTCAAATGAAAGGTTTTTTAAAAACCTATCAGCAACAGCTCATCCTTCACGTCAAAACACATCAAGTTTCTCATTGAAAAATGCTTATGTCAGAGCATTAGCACACATTGTAAACAAAAAAATATACGTTCGCGAAACACATAGGTAAAGCGACCCCCCACTGTACTTATCTCTCAAATTTGCTTTTAAATGTTGTAGGCAGAATGAATGATGCACTGTTGGGAACACCTTTGACATTGCTTCCATCAAGTCAATGTTGCGATCAAACATAATAGTAATGTCCCTACTATTATCAACAATCTCAGTTAATTGCTGTAAAAATCAATGTCAATTACACTCATTCTTCAAATCAACAACAACAAAGGCCAATGGGAACAAACCTGGAATACATATTACAACTTAAACAGTAACATCAAAATCGGTAACATACAAGCAATTATTAAAGTATAATAGTAAAATAAAATCAGTAATACCAGATTAAACCAAAAAAAAATCAACTTAGTTGCCATCTTTGGCAGTTGCAGACCAAAAAATTTCATTATAACTTTCCTTTAAAAATGTACTATCAATGAACAATATGAGTCGACAATACTTAAATCCATGTATACATGCCTTAAATGACATGAACAACTTACTAAAATATTGCGTGTTCGAATCACCTTCCAACACAAATTTACTACCTGGATTGCTTTCATTAGCAGCCTGTACAGACCACCGTAGTTGTTGGTATGACAACGAATGATCCCCAAAAAGTATACCCCTTACTTTTTCGACACCTATCCAAGCTTGGTTATACGATATGATCAAACCATAATCTGAATAAAACATATTTTTCACATTAACTGGTCATGTGTCAGGTTTTTGCCGCACGTTGTCAACAATAAGTCCTCCAACCAAATTAGAAATCAATCTTTTGTTCTTTGTCATACGTGCAGTCACGCCACATGTGTGCTCATTGTTTAACTTCTTAATGTAAAACAATCCATTTATCCTTTGAAGTGTAGCAACAAGACACCACTCACATTCAACAGAATATTTCATGACACATTTAACCTTTACCCCTTGTTTTTTCATTCTTCACATAATTAAACTGAAAACTAACATCAATTGTATGTTTGCATAAAGCATTTTGAAAATCAACTACTCCTCTATCAAACTTCTTACCAACCTCTACTATTCCATTGAACCATCCATCAGTCAATTAAACCGTCTCATTATGAGAATAAAAACAAGGGAAAAGATCATTCTTGCGACCAAAAGTGTCAACAAATAATTCAGAACTTTTTACGACTTCCCCACCCTCAAAATCACGAACCTCATTTCCTTTAATAACAACTGTAACATCAACAAAATTCAGCTGAACATATCGTGCAATTAAAAACATGTTTCTCACGTCATGATCATTTTACAAAGCGCAATTCGGATGTCCAGGAATAGCGTACAATAGAGCAACACAATTGGAACTCAACCCATTCCAATTGTTACAAACACCATGTAACACATCATCAATAGTGGAATTCATTAAAATTCTTATCACAATAGTCTTAGAAGAATACTTGTAACAAATCAATATGTTATCCTCCATTTGTTAGAACCAAGAAAACAAATATAAAGGAAAAAATATAGAAAAATAAACATAATCAATTAGAATTCCAAAAAAGCATGAACAGTAACATAAAAAATAAAATTATAACCTAATTACAAAAAAAAATTCGTTAAATTACATCGCAATACGGATTTCAATTTGTAGCATTGAATTATTGGCAGAGTGACATTCAAATTTCAACAATTGCAAATACAACACTATTATTCATAATATATAAATCAACCAATTATAATGAAATACCTCAGTATTCCTAAATGTTCCAGCCAACGAACTCTAGAAACTAGCATCTCGAATTCGAAAATACAAACAAATTCGAACTCTAAAAACTGCTTCTATCACCTTCAAACCCCCTGCCAAATACAAAAGCCTATTATTCAAATGTATAACAGACTAAAATTGATTAAAAATTCGAATTTAAGTTGTTAAGAAAATCTTGTAATTTGAATTAATTCGTACATCACCCTTCCATATATACCTATCATAATATATACATTCCATATAAAACTTTCGTTAATTATCAAAACATTTAATAAAATGGTTTCCATATATAACTCAATCACTGGTTTTCATATATTCCTCAATGATCTAACATTTGTGACTTTCCATAATTAGACAAAACTAACACCATTAGAGATAATTTTGAGATTTTTTTTTAAAAAAGTAGACTTAAGTACCTACATATAAGTTTAAACACGAACTTAATCCCAAATAAGTTTTCTTGTCGAACTTAAATCATTATAAGTCCATGGAAAAGTTGGAAAGAGGTATACCAAATTAGAATTAATTGTAAAAAAGTACACAAAAAAAATATAGAGTAAAAAAGTCCTTAATTTTGATACTTATNTTGTGACTTTCCATAATTAGACAAAACTAACACCATTAGAGATAATTTTGAGATTTTTTTTAAAAAAAGTAGACTTAAGTACCTACATATAAGTTTAAACACGAACTTAATCCCAAATAAGTTTTCTTGTCGAACTTAAATCATTATAAGTCCATGGAAAAGTTGGAAAGAGGTATACCAAATTAGAATTAATTGTAAAAAAGTACACAAAAAAAATATAGAGTAAAAAAGTCCTTAATTTTGATACTTATTTGTGTCAAAGTACATTATTTGAAATTTTTAAATTTTTTTGTGTCATTTTTGTTCTTCCTTGATCCATGCATAATTTTTTTGAAAAGTGGTGCATTAAACATCTCCTAGTTTTATGGGAGAACTTTAATATCCCGTATTTATATCTCATCTCTTGATTCATGCATTTTTTTTTGAAAAGTGGTTTTATTTTCAATTTATATTTAATGCATCTTGATTCATGCATTTTTTTTTACAAAGTGGTTATGTTTACAAATTATATTAATATCCGAATTCTATACCAATGTAACAATAACAGTGTAATAAGACATTGACATAAAATATTGTACTATTACATTTTGTCAAATTTATGTTTTCATTCAAAATAGTCCATCTTCGTTTNGAAAAGTGGTTTTATTTTCAATGTATATTTAATGCATCTTGATTCATGCATTTTTTTTTACAAAGTGGTTATGTTTACAAATTATATTAATATCCGAACTCTATACCAATGTAACAATAACAGTGTAATAAGACATTGACATAAAATATTGTACTATTACATTTTGTCAAATTTATGTTTTCATTCAAAATAGTCCATCTTCGTTTTAAATTGTTACCATATACACAAAACCACTAAACACTTTTTGTTACAGTGTATTGTTATACTGTCTTTATTATAGTGTATTGTTACACTATTTTTATTACACTATTATGGAGTTCAGATATTAACAAATTTTGAAATTCAAACAAGTGATATATCTTAAAATAAACAGAATATTAAAGTTCACCTATAAAACTAGTAATAGTAAAAAATTAAAGCATAAATATAATTTGAAAACAAAACCACTTTCTAAAAAAAAAATACGCATGAATCAAAGTGTATTAAAAATAACAGATTTTGAATTAAATAACCCTAAATTTCAGCGCTTAAAATAAATGCATTGTTACAGTTTTTAGGGAAAAAAGTTTATAAAATAGACATTTACGTCTTTGTATCTCAGTTGTGTATTTTTTTCCAANATTCACCTATAAAACTAGTAATAGTAAAAAATTAAAGCATAAATATAATTTGAAAATAAAACCACTTTCTAAAAAAAAAATACGCATGAATCAAAGTGTATTAAAAATAACAGATTTTGAATTAAATGACCCTAAATTTCAGCTCTTAAAATAAATGCATTGTTACAGTTTTTAGGGAAAAAAAGTTTATAAAATAGACATTTACGTCTTTGTATCTCAGTTGTGTATTTTTTTCCAATATATTTTGTTTTGTATACTTTTTTATAATTATATCTAATTTGGTATACTGGCTTCCAAAGAACTCTAAGTCCATCTAGGGGGACGCACCCCCAATTTTCACAAAAAAATATACCCACACCAAAACAATCCTAAAAAAACATAATGAATCGATGATCATTAGACCAACATCTAACCTATTTAAAACCTAAATTTATCTTGAACATAATGTAGCGGTTTTATTTCAAAATTTGGGTTGTGTACCACTAACCTCAATACGGCCCATAATATTTTCTGGATATAGGTCCAATGGGCTGTTCTATTCTCGATCTACCGCCTAATGGCCCAAAAGAACACAACAGTCAAAGTAGTTCCTCGAGAGCCTACTCAGTAANCAATCCTAAAAAAACATAATGAATCGATGATCATTAGACCAACATCTAACCTATTTAAAACCCAAATTTATCTTGAACATAATGTAGCGGTTTTATTTCAAAATTTGGATTGTGTACCACTAACCTCAATACGGCCCATTATATTTTCTGGATATAGGTCCAATGGGCTGTTCTATTCTCGATCTACCGCCTAATGGCCCAAAAGAACACAACAGTCAAAGTAGTTCCTCGAGAGCCTACTCAGTAAAGCAGCATAACAGAACCCACCTTCAAAACCCTAAACCCTAAATTTGTGTTTTTGACTTTTTTTCTCGTCTCTCTCCGGGCCTCTCCTATCTTAAAAGCCCTAAACGCTCCATTTTACGTTCACCATAACCCTAGCAACCCCCAAAACCCTTTCCACTTCAGAGAAGTGACCTAACTCTCAGTAGCAACACTCTCTCAACCATGTCTGACCTCGAGATTACTCGCTCAGAGAAAAAGAAGAAGAAGAACAAATCCAAAGACGAGACCCACCAAGACTCTGACCCAATCGATACGCAGACCGATGGTTTCCTGATCAAACCCCAGAGCTTTACACCCACCATCGACACTTCTCAGTGGCCAATCCTTCTTAAGAACTACGACCGCCTCAATGTACGAACCGGACACTACACTCCTCTTCCGTCCGGTTACTCACCTCTCAAACGCCCACTCGTTGAGTACATTCGGTACGGTATTCTCAATCTCGATAAACCCGCAAACCCCTCTTCTCATGAGGTTGTGGCTTGGATCAAACGAATCCTCCGGGTTGAAAAAACGGGTCACAGTGGAACCCTAGACCCGAAAGTCACTGGAAACCTCATTGTCTGTATAGACCGAGCCACAAGGCTTGTCAAATCCCAACAAGGGGCTGGAAAAGAGTACGTTTGTGTAGCTCGATTGCATTCGGCAGTGCCTGAAGTCGCGAAAGTAGCTCGAGCACTTGAAACGCTGACCGGCGCCGTTTTTCAGCGGCCACCGCTGATCTCGGCGGTGAAAAGGCAGCTTAGGGTTAGGACTATATATGAGAGTAAGCTTTTGGAGTATGATGCGGGTAAGCATTTGGTGGTATTTTGGATTTCTTGCGAGGCGGGCACTTATGTGAGGACTATGTGTGTGCATTTGGGTTTGATTTTGGGTGTGGGAGGGCATATGCAGGAGTTGAGGAGAGTCCGGTCAGGGATTATGGGTGAGAAAGATAATATGGTGACTATGCACGATGTGATGGATGCACAATGGATTTATGATAATTATAGAGATGAGAGTTACTTGAGGAGGGTGATCATGCCTTTGGAGGTTCTTTTGACCAGTTATAAGAGGTTGGTTGTGAAGGATTCCGCGGTGAATGCAATTTGTTATGGTGCTAAGTTGATGATTCCGGGGTTGTTGAGATTTGAAAATGATATTGAGGTTGGGGAGGAAATTGTATTGATGACTACTAAGGGAGAGGCAATTGCATTGGGTATTGCAGAAATGACTACGGCCGTTATGGCTACTTGTGATCATGGGGTTGTTGCGAAGATTAAGAGGGTAGTAATGGATCGGGATACTTATCCGAGGAAATGGGGCTTGGGACCAAGGGCTTCAATGAAAAAGAAGTTGATTGCAGAGGGCAAGTTGGATAAGCATGGGAAGCCGGTTGATAGTACCCCAGCTGAGTGGTTGAGGAATGTGGTTCTCCCAGCAGGAGGTGATTCGATGGTTGCAAGCCTTGCGGCTGTGAGTGAGCCAATATTGGGTAATGCAGAGACTCCAGTGATTGAGGGTGAGAAGAAAAAGAAGAAGAAGCNGGCTGAGTGGTTGAGGAATGTGGTTCTCCCAGCAGGAGGTGATTCGATGGTTGCAAGCCTTGCGGCTGTGAGTGAGCCAGTATTGGGTAATGCAGAGACTCCAGTGATTGAGGGTGAGAAGAAAAAGAAGAAGAAGCATAAAGATAGGGAAGATGGTGATGAGGGGCGTAAGCGCAAATTGGAGGAGATTGATAGTAGTCCTGTGGCAGATGGTGCTAAGAAAGCAAAGGTTGCAGAAGTTGAGGAAACTGTGCTGGTGAAAGAGAAGGTTGAATTGAAGAAGGTAGGTGAAGANGTAAGCGCAAATTGGAGGAGATTGATAGTAGTCCTGTGGCAGATGGTGCTAAGAAAGCAAAGGTTGCAGGAGTTGAGGAAACTGTGCTGGTGAAAGAGAAGGTTGAATTGAAGAAGGTAGGTGAAGAGGTTTTGGAGGTGCAAGTTGAAAAGAAAGAGAAGAAAAAGAAAAAGAAGAAAGAGGATGGTGAAGCTTTATCGCCTGATGGTGAAACAGCTAAGAAAGAGAAGAAAAAGAAAGATAAAGAGAAGGGTGAGTCTGGGTCATCTGATGAAGAGAAATCTGAGAAGAAGAAAAAGAAGAAAAAGAATAAAGGTGCAGAGAATGGTGATACCTCTGCGTTGCCCTCAGCTACCATTGGGAGTGATGATGAAGTAACCAAAAGTGAGAAGAAGAAGGAAAAGAAGAAGAAGAAAAATAAGGATGCAGAAGTGGAGTAGATCAAAAGATTGGTCTGACCTGAGAAATACTTGTATGTATGCCAGCTTATTTATCATCGCCAATGACATGTATGTGTTCAGAGATTTATCTTCTGTTGCACGTAGCGGGCACAACCTGTTTTCAGTCTTGAGTTTGGATATGAGACTGGTTTATTTAGCTTATTAGTTTCAGTTGGTTTCTTGTACCTTTTATTTTCTTTTGGCTGGTATTTGAGATCTGGTACGTTTTTTCTTGAAATTATTGTTAGCTCAGTTTTCATAATATGCTTTAAATTCTGTACTCTTGTAGTATTGTTGATATTGACGTGTTTCTATGTGTGGTGAATTTTGTATGATATCAATTATCAACCATGGTATGCATCATCAGGTTATAGTTATTTGTTAGTTTCAAAATTGTTAAATCAAATTGGCACCATCAGTTAGTTTAGCATATTAATTGCAACATTCTTAGCAACTGTGGCTGAAAGTTTATAAATTGTTGGTGTTGACAGTTTCACTGGTTTATTCTTGGTGCAAATGCCCCTTGAGTTGAATTCTGCCTGTTGATTTTTATTTTTTTTTGGGAGACACCCCTCCCTCTCCCTCTCTCTCTCTTCTTAAAAAAAAATTTATGGTTTTGGAAGCTCTGACAGATTGCATAAAACTACAGTGAGGTTCTCTTTGTGTTCTGCTTGCAACATGGAAATTTTAATGGTTTTGTAAGCTCAGATGGATTGCATTGAAACTAAAGTGAGGTTTAGGACTCTTTTATAGGTACCCTGTTCGTTTATTTTGAGCAGGTTTGAATTTGTTAACTGTGCTTGTAAGAGTTATTTTCTGGCCTCTTTATTGAAGTACCATTGTATTAGCATCCTGAATTGTGCGTGGATGGCCTACCAATGCATTGTTTATGGCAGTTGATCAAGCATTTCATATTTTTGGAAGCAGTGTGTTTGAAGCTTCTGGTAGAACTATGATCCAGCTATGGGGAGCTGATCTAAACTAGTGTAGCTTTTGGACCTGTTCTCATTCCTTGAATTTTACAAACAGATCACGTCCTTCTTGAGACCAAATATATGTCTGTGAATCTTGAGTAATGGGAAAAAAAAAATCGAACTGTTTGCAAATGGCATTTGTTAGAAAGTTTGAAATAATTTAATTGAATTTCTTGCTGATTTGAAGAGAACAGATTCTGCATTTACTGTATAGATTTTGGATGTGGGTGGATTGAATCCCATTTTGAATGCTTGATGGGAAAAAAAAGTGGGAGAAAGATGGTTGGAATCTAATTGGGGTTGGTAGAAGACTACAAAGTTGGGAAGAAGATACAGTAGTTTGGCTGTGCTGGTGCAAATTTCACTGGGATTTCTGCATGCCGTAAGTTTTACTTTGCAGTAATTTCTCTCTCTCTCTATAATTATTGTATTTTTCTAGTATATGATGTTAAGAGACAGCGTGTGAGAATGATGATTTTCACTTTGCATTTATTTTTCTTGTTCAGCAACCAGAGTATTCTTTTTGTATAATATGCTCATCATCCACATTCACTTCCAACCTCAAGCTGTTCTTTCTGTTCAAAGCTCTGGTTTGTGCCTTCTGTGCAATGTTTCGCCCTTGTTAATTTCATAATATTTAATCCTGTCTCTTTACAAGCATATGAAGGGTTCCTTCCGCCTTTGACGAGCATCTTCTCCTCCACACTTGCCAAGCCTGCTTCAGCTGGCGAAACCTCTGCTCCGGGGGAATGTAAAACAGAGGAGGCCCTTCTTGAAGGTGTATCATATCCCATATCAGCTGGGTAAGCTAGTAGAATTTGATTGTGTTCGTACTCAACTCGCTTGTCATTGTTGAAGCTTTGTTGTCGAGTTTAGATTTTTAATCAAGCCAACTCGCTAGAAGTTTACGATTATTTGATGTGAAACTGAGCATTACTTTTTGGCAAAACATTTTGAAAATTAATTTGTAGAACCTAATATTCAATTGTAAAATATTCAATTTTCAACAAATATCTGAAAATGATATAATCGGTTCGGCCATAGATACAAATCTTACGAGTTGAAATGTCTTAAAATCCGTTAGAATCACAAAGGAGAGAGAAGTCTATTAGACATTTAAATGGTTAGTTTGATTTTGAATTTTAGAGTATATTGGACTTACAAAATAAAAGGTAATTTGAAATTATAATTTTTTATTAGGATAAAATTATATTTTTTTAATGATTATATTAACATATGTCAATGAAAAAGGGTTATGTGTTACACGTGTATAAATGTCACGAGATATAGGAGCAATATTCTAAATGTGAAGGAGTTCAAATGATTAAGTGATAAATATGAGGAGATCAAGNGAGGTTTTGGAGGTGCAAGTTGAAAAGAAAGAGAAGAAAAAGAAAAAGAAGAAAGAGGATGGTGAAGCTTTATCGCCTGATGGTGAAACAGCTAAGAAAGAGAAGAAAAAGAAAGATAAAGAGAAGGGTGAGTCTGGGTCATCTGATGAAGAGAAATCTGAGAAGAAGAAAAAGAAGAAAAAGAATAAAGGTGCAGAGAATGGTGATACCTCTGCGTTGCCCTCAGCTACCATTGGGAGTGATGATGAAGTAACCAAAAGTGAGAAGAAGAAGGAAAAGAAGAAGAAGAAAAATAAGGATGCAGAAGTGGAGTAGATCAAAAGATTGGTCTGACCTGAGAAATACTTGTATGTATGCCAGCTTATTTATCATCGCCAATGACATGTATGTGTTCAGAGATTTATCTTCTGTTGCACGTAGCGGGCACAACCTGTTTTCAGTCTTGAGTTTGGATATGAGACTGGTTTATTTAGCTTATTAGTTTCAGTTGGTTTCTTGTACCTTTTATTTTCTTTTGGCTGGTATTTGAGATCTGGTACGTTTTTTCTTGAAATTATTGTTAGCTCAGTTTTCATAATATGCTTTAAATTCTGTACTCTTGTAGTATTGTTGATATTGACGTGTTTCTATGTGTGGTGAATTTTGTATGATATCAATTATCAACCATGGTATGCATCATCAGGTTATAGTTATTTGTTAGTTTCAAAATTGTTAAATCAAATTGGCACCATCAGTTAGTTTAGCATATTAATTGCAACATTCTTAGCAACTGTGGCTGAAAGTTTATAAATTGTTGGTGTTGACAGTTTCACTGGTTTATTCTTGGTGCAAATGCCCCTTGAGTTGAATTCTGCCTGTTGATTTTTATTTTTTTTTGGGAGACACCCCTCCCTCTCCCTCTCTCTCTCTTCTTAAAAAAAAATTTATGGTTTTGGAAGCTCTGACAGATTGCATAAAACTACAGTGAGGTTCTCTTTGTGTTCTGCTTGCAACATGGAAATTTTAATGGTTTTGTAAGCTCAGATGGATTGCATTGAAACTAAAGTGAGGTTTAGGACTCTTTTATAGGTACCCTATTCGTTTATTTTGAGCAGGTTTGAATTTGTTAACTGTGCTTGTAAGAGTTATTTTCTGGCCTCTTTATTGAAGTACCATTGTATTAGCATCCTGAATTGTGCGTGGATGGCCTACCAATGCATTGTTTATGGCAGTTGATCAAGCATTTCATATTTTTGGAAGCAGTGTGTTTGAAGCTTCTGGTAGAACTATGATCCAGCTATGGGGAGCTGATCTAAACTAGTGTAGCTTTTGGACCTGTTCTCATTCCTTGAATTTTACAAACAGATCACGTCCTTCTTGAGACCAAATATATGTCTGTGAATCTTGAGTAATGGGAAAAAAAAAATCGAACTGTTTGCAAATGGCATTTGTTAGAAAGTTTGAAATAATTTAATTGAATTTCTTGCTGATTTGAAGAGAACAGATTCTGCATTTACTGTATAGATTTTGGATGTGGGTGGATTGAATCCCATTTTGAATGCTTGATGGGAAAAAAAAGTGGGAGAAAGATGGTTGGAATCTAATTGGGGTTGGTAGAAGACTACAAAGTTGGGAAGAAGATACAGTAGTTTGGCTGTGCTGGTGCAAATTTCACTGGGATTTCTGCATGCCGTAAGTTTTACTTTGCAGTAATTTCTCTCTCTCTCTATAATTATTGTATTTTTCTAGTATATGATGTTAAGAGACAGCGTGTGAGAATGATGATTTTCACTTTGCATTTATTTTTCTTGTTCAGCAACCAGAGTATTCTTTTTGTATAATATGCTCATCATCCACATTCACTTCCAACCTCAAGCTGTTCTTTCTGTTCAAAGCTCTGGTTTGTGCCTTCTGTGCAATGTTTCGCCCTTGTTAATTTCATAATATTTAATCCTGTCTCTTTACAAGCATATGAAGGGTTCCTTCCGCCTTTGACGAGCATCTTCTCCTCCACACTTGCCAAGCCTGCTTCAGCTGGCGAAACCTCTGCTCCGGGGGAATGTAAAACAGAGGAGGCCCTTCTTGAAGGTGTATCATATCCCATATCAGCTGGGTAAGCTAGTAGAATTTGATTGTGTTCGTACTCAACTCGCTTGTCATTGTTGAAGCTTTGTTGTCGAGTTTAGATTTTTAATCAAGCCAACTCGCTAGAAGTTTACGATTATTTGATGTGAAACTGAGCATTACTTTTTGGCAAAACATTTTGAAAATTAATTTGTAGAACCTAATATTCAATTGTAAAATATTCAATTTTCAACAAATATCTGAAAATGATATAATCGGTTCGGCCATAGATACAAATCTTACGAGTTGAAATGTCTTAAAATCCGTTAGAATCACAAAGGAGAGAGAAGTCTATTAGACATTTAAATGGTTAGTTTGATTTTGAATTTTAGAGTATATTGGACTTACAAAATAAAAGGTAATTTGAAATTATAATTTTTTATTAAGATAAAATTATATTTTTTTAATGATTATATTAACATATGTCAATGAAAAAGGGTTATGTGTTACACGTGNCATTTATTTTTCTTGTTCAGCAACCAGAGTATTCTTTTTGTATAATATGCTCATCATCCACATTCACTTCCAACCTCAAGCTGTTCTTTCTGTTCAAAGCTCTGGTTTGTGCCTTCTGTGCAATGTTTCGCCCTTGTTAATTTCATAATATTTAATCCTGTCTCTTTACAAGCATATGAAGGGTTCCTTCCGCCTTTGACGAGCATCTTCTCCTCCACACTTGCCAAGCCTGCTTCAGCTGGCGAAACCTCTGCTCCGGGGGAATGTAAAACAGAGGAGGCCCTTCTTGAAGGTGTATCATATCCCATATCAGCTGGGTAAGCTAGTAGAATTTGATTGTGTTCGTACTCAACTCGCTTGTCATTGTTGAAGCTTTGTTGTCGAGTTTAGATTTTTAATCAAGCCAACTCGCTAGAAGTTTACGATTATTTGATGTGAAACTGAGCATTACTTTTTGGCAAAACATTTTGAAAATTAATTTGTAGAACCTAATATTCAATTGTAAAATATTCAATTTTCAACAAATATCTGAAAATGATATAATCGGTTCGGCCATAGATACAAATCTTACGAGTTGAAATGTCTTAAAATCCGTTAGAATCACAAAGGAGAGAGAAGTCTATTAGACATTTAAATGGTTAGTTTGATTTTGAATTTTAGAGTATATTGGACTTACAAAATAAAAGGTAATTTGAAATTATAATTTTTTATTAAGATAAAATTATATTTTTTTAATGATTATATTAACATATGTCAATGAAAAAGGGTTATGTGTTACACGTGCATAAATGTCACGAGATATAAGAGTAATATTCTAAATGTGAAGGAGTTCAAATGATTAAGTGATAAATATGAGGAGATCAAGGTATAATTTATCAATTTAGTTTTAGGTGCACATTGATACAAATTTCTATCTTTGAGGGTGTAAATTGAGATTTTTGATCTTTGGGGGTGCACATTGATATAAATTTTTATTTTTAAGGACGTAAATTGAGATTTTTGATCTTTGAGAGTCTAAATTGAGATTTGAACTATCTTTCGGGGTGTAACGTACAATTTACCCTAAAAAATATTATAATTTTGTGATTAAAAGTGTCAATCAAATCTAATTCTAATATAGAACAACCAAAAAGAAAAAAAATACAACAGTTCAATATCAAATAGATGTAGAAGCTTAATACTTTAAAACCTCGTTAATATTCACATCATGTTCCATGTAATTTTACTACTAAAATATTTTGAAATCAATGCTAAAATCTTTGGAAATCTAATACCAAAATTATCTTGCTTTGCCTCGTCAAAATCTTTGCAACATACCTGTCCTATTATGTTGTTTTAAGCTTATAAGTTCTTTCTAAAGGTAGAAATCCGACAAAAGTAGATTATAATCCAAAAATAGCCTTCTCTAGAGGTTGTGACTTATCCTTTAGGTGCAACCACATATTGCTAACTCATGTTATTTTGTATGATAAGCATCGATCACTCGACACTTGCAACACCTAAATTGTCAGTCTTGGATGATTGGTCATGTATGCTGAAAGATATCATCTTTTTCCAGCTTTATTTCATCTCTCATGATTCTTCCAATAAAACTATAGAAAAAAAAAAAAGAAGGCAAGGGATGAGTGGATTATTTCATGATTATTCAGTAATATTGCAATTTCATACATCTTAATATGTTCCCAACTTTTGAGCGAATAAATGTGATAATTTTTTAAAAATTAGATAACATACTTCATATTCAAAACGGTTCATGTGCAACTCACATGTGTACCGACTAGTATTTTAAGCACTTCTTAAAAATAGGCTAAAATTTTAAATAGCAAGACACTTACTTATCACTTAGTAGTTAAAATATTAATTAGTATGGATTTTATAAATTTTTCATAATGGATAAATATATTCTCAATATATTTTATACTCTTAACTTTTCTAACAGCTACTATCCACCACCACCACCATTGCGCTGCCGCCATCACCATCATCGTCGTCATCACCACCACCATTGTGCAGAAACCGCTACAATTATCACCAACGCCACCACTATTATGTAGATGTCACCACCATTACTAACTACCATTGTATCATCACCACTATAACTACCATTGTGTTGGAATCGCCACCACCATTGCGCTGCCACCCTGACCACCATTGTGATAGTGGTGGTAGGAATAAATTAATTGCAATAAGATGGTTAAAAAAAAGGGGGCAACTTAGAATAGTAATTTTTTTAAGCTTCAATTTTTTATATTTGTTAAACAGTTTGATTCAATTAAATAATTAAATTTTAGCGGATACCAAACCTTCAGTGGATTAAAAAATTCAACATTTAACACTTAAATTTCATCATTCAATTTTTAGTATTTAACTTTCAATTTTATCAAAGACCACCAAACTCTTCCACATAAGTAAGGAAAAAGATTAAATTCTTTATAGTATCTGAAAAAAAAAAAATCTTTACAGTAAATCTATAAATAGGGAAATTATAAGCAGCCACTCATCAGCTGCCACATCAACAAAAATTTTTTTTTGGATACTTGTAATTATTCATTCCAGAATCAACAACGAGAGTCAAATCTAGTATATACAAATTTACGATTCAATAATCCCACATCATTCGGCTGGCTGCACTTGTGACTTTTTGATATTGATCTTTAGCTTTGACTAGTGTAATTGGTCTTAGCCTGNTTGTCTGTGAATCTTGAGTAATGGGAAAAAAAAAAAAGCAAACTGTTTGCAAATGGCATTTGTTAGAAAGTTTGAAATAATTTAAATGAATTTCTTGCTGATTTGAAGAGAACAGATTCTGCATTTACTGTATAGATTTTGGATGTGGGTGGATTGAATCCCATTTTGAATGCTTGATGGGAAAAAAAAGTGGGAGAAAGATGGTTGGAATCTAATTGGGGTTGGTAGAAGACTACAAAGTTGGGAAGAAGATACAGTAGTTTGGCTGTGCTGGTGCAAATTTCACTGGGATTTCTGCATGCCGTAAGTTTTACTTTGCAGTAATTTCTCTCTCTCTCTCTATAATTATTGTATTTTTCTAGTATATGATGTTAAGAGACAGCGTGTGAGAATGATGATTTTCACTTTGCATTTATTTTTCTTGTTCAGCAACCAGA